TCTTTTAGATTATTTGTTCACCTTTCTATCTGGACTTTTTGGTATATTTCTCTTTATCAGCTATGTTCATCATGTCTCTGGCAAGGGCCTTTTCTCATTACCTTACATATATCTTAGATTTTTCTATCTAAAGGGTTATGCCTGTCTTCAGTTCTATGGAAACCTTGTTGCTGCTGTTACTTATAATATTTTGGTATTCATTCTTTCTGTCACCCCACCCCCTACCCCCTACTACTACTATTGGGTGCACAATGCAACTTCTGAATCTACCTTCTGAGTTCCTTAACTTTCTTTTCACATTTCTTGTATTTGTGTCTGGTCTGGGGGAATACTTCTGCTTGATGTTTTATTTCACTAAATCACTTTCCATCTCTCTGACCATTGTGTTATTGAGGTCATCTAATGAAGAGCTTTTGTTTGTTTCTGTCTTTTTTTTTTTAAATCCTCTCTTTTAAATTCAGAGATCATGTTTGTACTTTCTAGAATTTAAAATTGTCTTTTCACTTATGGAAGCACCATTCTCCCACATCTGTTAATTTGCTTGCCCTAGAGTCTTATTCAGTTTCCTGTTTTGACTGTTTCCTTAGATTTTGGTGCTTCCATTTGTTGAGTCTGATGAATCTCTTTCATGATTGTGACCTTCCTTTCATGAACAGTGATTTTTGGTTGGTTGAGCATCATTTTATTTTAGCTTTCCTCTTACTCTGTGAATCTCTGAATGCTGTCCTTTAGAGGAGGATACTTGTAGTGATTGGGGTGGGGGGTGGGGGGTGAGTCAAAATAGGTTACCTGGAAGTATGTGCCAGTAACTGGGCTTATGGGTCTAGAGACTCTTTGTCCATCTTATCATGGCCACTCTGGGCACTGCTTTGCCTTTTTAACCCCAACACATACACACACACACACACACACACACACACACACACACACACTACTTCTGCTTAGAGCCCAATGGCCAGGTGTCTCATTGTTGGCAGACAAGGGAAGAGGCCAACTGTTCTGGATGTTCCTGCTCTGCTCTCTGGGCCAAAGCCCTTTCAGTTGTCCCAGGCTCCCTTCTGCTCCCATCATCCCCAGGGCTACCTCTGCTTTGTGCAGTAGACCTTTTGGTTATGGGTCCTTCCTCCAACCTAACTCCTGCTTTACATTATTTAGGGATGCCCTCTTAAGCTGTGTTAAACTATAGATACCTCTTTTTATTTTCCACAACTTGTGTCCATTTTAAAAATCATTTCCTCAATGCTAGAATTAACCCTATGATCCTGGGTTTGACTCAGAAATATGAATATGGACTCACATTTGTTTTAATATGTATGCAGATAGGTACAACAATAGACATGGGTATGTGTACATACATGGGTTAGGATCCATACATACATTTCCTAGCTCTCCCACTAACAGAACCTAGAAGCAGTACCATCCCAGTGGCACCTAACACATCTGCCATCTAGGTCTTGATTTCTGATACCATTCTTCAATAAAAGAAGCCAACATTCTTGGGAAAATGGCTCATCTTAGAACTGGGGCAGAGAAAATACAAGATGTACCTGGAGTATCAGATAGTGCCAGAAAGTAAGGAAGTACTAAACAGCATGTGGGTACATGTCAGAAAGACAACCTTAATGAGCTCCCAAATGGCCACAGTGGGAGCAGTGTTAGTGACAAAATAAATATAATAGTATTATGACCTCAAGAATAAAATAAATACCCATGAGTCCAATCATACTATGTAAATAAATGATTTAAGAGGGGGAGAAGGGACCTCTGTATCTCAGAGAAAATTTTATGTGCAAAGAATGAAGGAATATAAAATCACCATTAGAAGAATACCATACTGATCACAGGCAAAATCCACTAATGAATTAGTAGGTGGCACTTGAAGGAGAAATAGGGTCTTTGCTTTGCCCCAAACTATCTCCCCAAATACTTGTGAATCACTATAGTAGTTTGTAGATGTCCTCAAATCTTTGATACGTTGTTCTCTAGGAGGTGAAGCTGGATTCCCTTGCCTTGAATATGGAATGGGCCTAATGACTCACTAGTAAATAACAGAGTATTGGAAGGGAAACACAGTAAGTTTATAGTGGAGAATCCTGGCAGACACCACCTGAACCAAGGACCAAGGTTAAGGCCACATCTCATCAGCCATGTTGGTATGACAGCTTTCCAGATACCATGTGAAGAGAAAAGCACTATACCTCTATAGCCTGATTTCCCTCAAAACCCAATAATCTCAGTGTAATCATGAGGAAACACCAGACAAACCCATTTGAGAGACATTGTACAAAATATCTAATCAAGTACTCTTCAAGAGTGTCAAGGTCATGAAAGACAATGAAAGGTGAGGAACTGCCACATATTGAAAAAAAACAAGGAGACATGATGACTAGCTACATGGGCAGCCTGGGACAGAAATAGGACACTAGTGAAGAAACTGGAGGCATCTGAATATGTTGTGTCATTTAGTTAATAGAGTTGTACTAGCCTTAATGTCTCAGTTGATAATTGTCCTGTGGTTATATAAGGTGTTAAAATCAGGAGAAGCTGAGTGAAGGATATATAGGAAAGTATATTAACTTTGGAACTCCTTTGAAGTCTAAAATTAATTCAAAATAAAAAGATTGTCTTTCCCTATCCTTCAGTTTGGTTAGGAAGGATAGTAAAACATTCAGTCCTCCATCTTAATCCAGTAAGTCTTTTTTTTGTTATTGGAAAAAATTGGTATATTTGTTATTGGGAAAAAATATACAAAATAATGACAGATTGGGTTTTTTTTTTTTTTATTGTGAATAAGCTAAGTGTCCTTATGAAGATAAAACTCAGTGGATAAGTCAGGATCCTGGCAGGAGAGAGGTGGCACATACAGATGGGAGCTGAGCAGGGTTTAATGAAGAGTTGACCACATTGTGGGCAGGATTATGGGAAACTGCAAAAAGGCAGTGAATCACCCTAAGACTGGCAATAAGAGGAAGTGATGATCAGTCTAAGCTGAAAGGGGCAAGAGGATGGGTAGAGGTAGGGTTGATTCTCAGAACCTGGGAGAGCTGTAGGAAAGGGCCATCTGGCTGGTGCTGCAGGTCTGTGTGGAGGAGCGCAGCCACTGGGGCAGTGGGAAGGGCACAGAGATGCTTATACCGCACCCTCACTCTTGCTGTCCCTCCAGTGACTTTCCGTGACTCCCCACTGACCAAAACCAACCAGAAGCAACAGGGCAAGGGAGCTTGTATATGCATCTATATGGGTCAGCCTTCCAGGTACAATCCAGACCCAGAGAGGTGCCCGGAGGATATGTCATCTTCATGATCTGAATCCGTTAAAGCAACCTGTTATGATGTAGCCAATAAGAAAAGATTTAGAAAATCTAGAACTGATATAGGACCCCATAGGATTTCACATAGCAATTTATACGTGTAAGACATTAAAAGACATTTTAAAATGTTCAAGTCTGTGTGATCCAAATGAACATTTGGGAACAGCCTCCCTAAACGTCTCCCACTGAGATGAATCTAGGTCAGTCTCCATAAAAGATGTCCCAAATTCCCACTGATTTTCTCTTTACATTCTTAGCAAAAAGCCACTGAGCCTGTGCTTGGACTGGCTTTGTCTCTCCAGCTCTTACCCAGACATTTCTGGGACCACCATTCCAGGGTAAAGCAGTATCCATCTACCTTGATGGAGACCTGCTCCCAAGTGCCCCCTCCCTGTGGGTTATCCTGCTAGTCTGGTTCTGCCCTGCTTCCTTCCCTACCTTTTGCTGCCTTGGTCTGTTCCCCACTGGAAAATGGGCCATCCATTCCACATGCTCTGAAATCCTATTTCCTTACCATCTCACCCCTTCTCACAGCTTCTTTCCCTCAGGTCCTCCTCCTTCCTTATTTGTATGAGTTCTGCAAGCTCCCCAGCCCTCCAGTCCTCCTGTCCTCCTGCTGCACCTCTTGGCATCACTCCCTTTCTGGTTCAGCCATTGAGGAAGGAATGCCCTTCTAATTAATACTCAGGTGTCATGGGCTGGTAGCTCCCCCTTATCTGATGAGTACAGGGTTAGAGTTGGTGGATTGATAGGACACAGTAAATGCACTGGTTGAGTCCAGCAAGCACCCAGCATAGCATGGAGCAGAGAAGGGAAATGAGCCTGTTGGCCTTGCATGTTTGGTGTGTGGCAAGCTGTGTAGCTGTGTTCTGTTCCACCTTAGTCCCTTGTCCCGGTGGGTACTCCCAAGATGCATATTAATCTACCTGTGTGAAGTAAAAGTCACCTGGCTCCATGGCGTGTGCTACACCTGAGGTTTCCATCATGCTGAAAAGAAAAGCCTCCCCTTATTTGAAAATGAAAAGTAATTTTATTTTTTCTTTGGAGTTCAGGAACATAATGAACTAATTTCAAAGGAGCTAGAAAAGTATATTTGCTTGAAACCTTTTCTTATCTACATCTTGAATTTTGCAGTAAAATGCTATGAAATTAGAAGCCGACTACCATTTTTTAAAGGAGAAAATTGTATTTCTGATCATGTTTTTTTATCCTAAGAAGGACTTAAACATTTCTTAAATGGGATGATTTGCAGAAGTGAGATTGAGGAGGTTAGTGGTCAGCTGAGATGTGACTTGCTGTTAGTGGGAAAAGGGATTGCAGGTGCTGAGGAGAACATAGCTGAAGACCTAGCTGAGGATGCAAACCAGCTTCTCAGCAGGGGTCCTCCCCCTGTTGCCCATGGATGAGTTTGAGAGGTGGCTCTGAAATTGTTGGTGACACTTACCTCTGTGTGTGCTTGAATACTCGAGTATGGGAGAGATGGTTCATGATACCATCTTATTCTCAAAGGGATTTGTGTCTTACCTTCCCATCCCACATCAGTTTTGAAAGTTGGGCAGAATAATTTGTTCTGGTGTTAATGAAATGGTATTTGCTGATTTCTTTCCTGAGAGATTGCGTTTTCCAGGAAGGCTTCACGTGGCTTTTTGACCAGCCAGACTTACCCTTTGCCCTTTTCTTTTCATCCTAGGCCAACACTGGACAAATTGATGACACCCAAGAGCAGCACAGAGTTATCAGCAGTAACCTCGCCCTCATTCAGGTGACTCTCCCCTTTGTCCATTTGATGAATCTCCTTCCTGCTTTGAATCTGCAGTCAGGCCTGCTCCAGGTAGGAAGAGCAAAGACTAAGTGAGCCCTTGTCCCTGTACTCCAGACTGAGCTTTGGGAATGGGCCCCTCATCCATTCTGTAACCACCAGACCACACTCATGTGGCAGCTGGAGGATCAGCCCAACTACAGGCACTGGCACCGGAGTGTAGATGCCTCTTCTTGGAACCCAAGTTCCCTCCAGCTTCTTTACCTCCTTCTTTCCAAGACAGACTTATTGAAAGATTCACCTATACTTACTTACTCCTGTTTCTCATAGCATGGACAGGGCTAACTGCCTTCTCTTCCCACTGTCTTGATTTAAGCTATGCTTGCCAAAGTCACTGACATCCTAATTGGTGTACCCTCTGACTGCCTCGTGCATATGATCCTGCTTATAGTTTCTGGAGATTCTTCCTGTCTGGAAGTTCCTCCTTGGCCCCACTCCTGCCTCTCACCCTGTGCCTTCTCAGCTTTTGCAGGATATCCTCCAGTCCCCACACCTTTGTCCCTTAAATGTTTCATGCTTGTTCAAACTTGAACCTCCTTCTAATAGACCCTAATTGGGCTAAGCTTTCATCCGAGGAGTCTCAGAGTATTACAAAATCAGGAAGTCTAGGGCAGGGGGAGACTAGGAAGAGATTGGCTCTGGACAAGAGAGGAAGTAGTTTTATCCAGAACCTTCTGGGCTTCTTTGGCTGGGGGCAGCCTGAGGCTGCACAAAGCACCTGGACTCTAAGATCAGACAGGCTGGTGTTAAGGCTATCATTTATCAACAGGTTGGCCTTGGGCAGACCACACAAGACTTGCTTAGCTGTATCTCCCTGTCCATCAGAGTAGGTGGATATCCACTTTACCTCTCACCTGGGTTCTAGAGCCACTGTTTCTGGCTGTCTACGGGGCATCTCCATTTGCCCCTCCCCGAAGCATCCCTGAAACACCTTAGCCAGATCTGGCATCATCACCTTATCTCCTCACACTTACCTCTTGTGAAGTCCCCAATCCCTAAGAGTTTGATGGTTGAAAGTTCATTTTGGGGGTAGACCCTTGGGCAAATCACCTCACCTTATCTGTAAGATGGTCTGTTGTGAGGTTTCAATCATGTAAGGCCATGGCACCTGGCCACATGTGGTAAACTCCCAATCATGGTAGCTGTGCCTAGTGAGGAGTCTTCCCATTAATCAAGCCTGAGACCGAGTCTCTCTCAGCATCTCTGCTCCTCAACTTTATGACCACTCGCGGAGGAGTCTGCCTCTGAGCTGTATTTGAATCCAGCCCTGCTTCTTTTCTTCCTTGCCTTGGCCTCTTGGTCTCCTGCATCACTGACATCAAACTTCTTCATTGCCCCAGGTTCCTTCCCCTCTGGCTCCCCTCTGCTTGGACACCTGAGTGACCTTTTCTAAATCCTAGAGCTGATCAAACTGCCTCCTCCTGAAGCTCCTTTGTTGGTTCTACTTGTCAAAGTGTAGGCCTGGCCCAAAGGTACTCCTGGTCTGGTCCTTTCCCTTCCACAGCCTCATGTACCCCACACCTGCTGCCTTTGTGTGTGTGGTTGCCTTTCCTTGGAATGTCCTGTCTCTTCTTGTTCTTCTGGCAATGAAGTTCCAATCAGGTCTCAGTTCCAGCCCGACACCAGGTACTCTTTGGGGCCTTGCACATGCAGCTGCAGCTGACCTGGTTGCAATTCTGTGTGTAGATGTCTGCCTTCTCCACTTGAGCCAAGTCACCTGTGCCAGGACCATGGCCTATGGCTGAAGAGCTTTGGATATTAAATGAGATGCTCGTGATGCCCTTAACAGAGAGGCTGGCAAGGGGCAGGTAATAAGTGCCTGAGCTACAAGTTTCCAAATCCTTGTCCATATGCATGCACATTTCCACATGATTGATTCTCAACCAACATTCATTAAGTGCTGACCTGGGCCAGACACTGGCTTGGCACATTCTGGTTCATAGCATGGATATCAGTTTGTCTCTTCTGTTTGTTAAGGAGCTTAACATTGAGTCACACATGGTCCAATAAATTTCATAATTGAACTTTTAGTAACTTCATATTCTATCACAAATACACCCGACAGTAATATTTAAAATATACCCATGAGTGATTTTTAACAACTGGTAGGACCCAGGAACTCAACTAGTAAGACTGAAGTGCAGCCACTAAGAGCTGGTCCAACAGGGCCGTTGCAAACTGTCCAAATTCAGCCCTATCCCACCTCATTCGACCTTCATCACATGGGTGCACATAAAATTGTTTGTAGGCTTCTGCTCAATAAATTACACCACAATGACATTGTTCTCTTTTTGCACGAATTTCTGAAGATAACTTCCCACAAGTTCACAAGGTATGAACAATTTAAAGATCTAGATTTTTCCAAAAAGGATTATAAAACATTTCAGTGCTTAGTATTAAGTAATAGCACCAGTGTTAATGTTTTAATTATTAGCTTCTCCATAACCTCACCAGCATTGAAAGTATTCTTCTAAACTAGTTTGTATTTGCCATATAGGTATATGTGGCCATAGACAATATATGCTATGGCTTCCTGTGTTTTTTTTTAATATTGTTTTATTTAAGTAATGTCTACACCCAACCTGGGGCTTAAACTCATGACCCAAAGTCAAGAGTCACATGCTCTTCCAGCTGAGCCAGCTAGGTGTCCCTGTCTTTCTGTGTTTTTTTTTTTTTTTTTAAGCACAAAAAGTATTATGCTGTACATATAATTCTGTAACTTGTACTTTTAAAAATGACTTAATGAATGAAAATCACTTAGAATAGCAGATAGCACTCAGGAAATGTCAGCTCCAGTCATTATTCTCATTATTACGTGGTTCTTTGTTCACATGTGCAAATGTTGTACTGAGAAAATGCTAGATCATAAGGTATATGGGTAAATTGTAGCCAAGTTTCCTCCCAGAATTCCTGTACCAATTTTACCACCATCTATATGTAAGAGAACCATTTTCCCACATATTTGTCAATGTGTATTTTATATTATCAACCTTTTAAATTTTTAAAAATTTATCTAATGTTTATTTATTTCTGAGGGAGAGAGAGAGAGAGAGCAGGGGAGGGGCAGAGAGGGAGGGAGAGAAAGAATCCCAAGCAGGCTCCGCATAGATGGCACAGAGCCCACTGCAGGACTCGAACCCATGAACCTTGAGATCATGAACTGAGCTGAAAGCAAGAGTCAGATGCTTAACCGACTAAGCCACCCAGGTGCCCCTAAACCTTTTAAATTTTAATTTTACCTAGTCTGGGGGATAAATATAGTGTACCCATGCACTCATTGATTGATTCATTAATTGGATAAGCACAGACAAGGGCTTAGCACCTGCTGAGTTCCCCACCCACCCCCGCCAAAACTGAGAGGGCACTGACCTTTTCATAGAGGAACACCAACATCAATTACAAAGAAATAAGATACCTACTTTCAAATTGGGATTAAATTTTTTTTCCTATTACTTGGGAAGCTGGTCACATTTTTGTTTGCTTTTTAGCCATTTGTATTTCCTTTTCTGTATCTTGTCAATTTATACTCCTTGTACATTTTTCTGTTGGGTTATCTTTTTTAAAAAGTTGGCGTCTGGGCGCCTGGGTGGCTCAGTCGGTTAAGCGGCCAACTTTGGCTCAGGTCATGATCTCGCGGTCCGTGAGTTCGAGCCCCACGTCGGCCTCTGTGCTGACAGCTCAGAGCCTGATTCTGTGTCTCCCTCTCTCTGACCCTCCCCCCGTTCATGCTCTGTCTCTCTCTCAAAAATAAATAAACGTTAAAAAAAAAAAAAAGTTGGCATTGCTTGGGGTGCCTGGGTGGCTGAGTCTGTTAAACATCTGACTTTGGCTCAGGTCATGATCTTGCAGTTCATGAGTTCAAGCCCCACATCAGGCTCTGTGCTGACAGCTCAGAGCCTGGAGACTGCTTCAGATTCTGTGTCTCCCTCTCTCTCTGCCCTTCTCCTGCTCATGTTCTATCTCTCTCCCCTTCAAAAATAAATAAACATTAAAAAGACAAAAGTTGGCATTGCTTTGTAAAATGGACTTCATGATTTTGATCACTAACCCTTTATTACTTATAAATGGAGATATTTTCTCCTACTCAGTTTCTGTCTTTGAAGTTTGTGGTATCACATAGAAGTCATACTTGGATTTATATACAGCTTATTTCATTTTTCTTCAGAGATTTTACACATCTTCAGAAGGAGTATTTAATCCAAAATCTGAAACACATTATCCTATATTTTTTCTTTTCATACATTAGGTTTTATGTTTAGTGGGGTGTGTGTATGAATGGTATAATGTAGGAATCCTTTTTTTTCCCCTAGGTATCCACTTTTCCTTACCCCATTTATTCAGTACCCACCCATTCCATACTGATTAGAAATGCCACCTTTATCATATTAAATTTCCATATATAAATTTTCATCTATTCTTGATGGTATTCCTGGACTCCAGTCTGTCCTGCTGATCTATTTGTCTATTTTTCTGCCAGTACCACCCTGTTTTAATTACAGTAGCCTTAAAACTATTGATAATGAATGTGCCAAACTCCCTCTTGATCTTTTTTCTCAAGGTGTCTTGGCTGTTCTTGCACATCTACTCATCTTTGTGGAACTTAAGATAAATTGTCAAGTGCCATGAAAAGTCTTGTTGGGACTTTCACTGGAATCATGTGGGTTAACTTGGGGAACATTTTCATCCATATATATGGTAGAGTTCTTTGTTTTTTTAGGCTTCTTTAATAATACAGCATGTTTCCATTGAGACATTTGAATTACAGTTGATCCTTGAACAATATGGGTTTGAACTGCATGGGTCCACTTATAGGCAGATTTGTTTTCATAAATACAGTACTATAAATGTATGATTCCTTATGATATTCTTAATTTTTTTTCTCTAGCTTTATTATGAGAATACAGTATATAATATAGCATACAAAATATGTGTGAATCAAGTTTGTGTTATGGGTAATGCTTCTGATCAGCAGTAGGCTGTTAGTAGTGAAGTTTTGAGGGAGTGACAAGTTATACACAGGTTTTCAACTTTACACAGTGTTGGTACCCCTAGTGCCAGTGTTGGTCAAGGGTCAACTGTACTGATAACATGCCAGTATTGATACTGACATCTGGGCACCTCATGGTACTGGCCTGCATGAGCAGCAGAGGTGTGACGCCACTGAGATGAGATGGGAATTGCAGCCGGGATGGGGGAGAATGGAGAGAAAGAGGGCCACCAGCATGAAGGGCAATTGCCAAGGAAGGAAAGTCTGGGAGAGAGACAGAGTGTGCACAGAGACTTCCAAGGCGTAGCTGTGGATCGTGGATTTCCACATTGCAGGGGAAGTTGCTTGTCTGAGCAGCTGGGGGCTACAGAGCACTTTTGCCCAGACCAGTGAGAGGAGCCATGAGCAAGAGACTGGTGGCCCTTGGCCAAGGGCTGAGTAGGAGGTGAAGATTTTGTGATGGAAAATGGCATCAAACAAGTTGCAGAACAAGAAAACAATAGTTTTCAAGGGAGTTGGATTGAAGCAAGGTGTTTGTTTTTTCCAGGTTGGAGGGGCTGTTGGCAAATTTTAGGGTGAGGAAAGGAGGTTGGGTGACCTCAAGGTCAGAGAGGAGGCGGAGGGAAAGGCAGGGAGGAACAATGATGGTCAGAGACACCTTTCCTCATGTTTCTGATTTCTGCCCTGACAGGTGCAGGCCACTGTTGTGGGGTTCCTGGCTGCTGTGGCTGCCCTGCTGTTGGGTGCTATGTCTAGGGAGGAGTTGGACTTTGTGAAGGTGGAGTTGCTGTGTGCCAGCAGTGTCATCACCGCCTTTCTCGCTGCATTTGCCTTAGGTGAGCTGTGCCCTCACCCCAGTTACCACCCCCTCCTAGCTCTCTCTGTCCTCCATTCCTCAGTACTCTGCTCTCAACTCTTTGTGTTTCATTTCCTTGAGATGTGGAAGATGGGTGCACTAATGGTGGGGCCTCACATGTCCTGCCAGAGGGTGGGGGAGAGCCTGTTAGTTAAATCTCCAAGCCCCACATTATGGATGGGCAAGGAGGACAATGAGTCCTTTCCTAGGCAATGTATGTGTGCAGGAGTGAGCTGCTGACTCCATTTCTCTTCCCTCTGCTTGTTCAGAGAACTGGCCTTTGCTCAGTGGACACATTCATCTGTTCATCTATTCTCCATCCATTCATTCACTCATTCAGTCAGTCAGTCTTTAAATGTTATTTGAGCATAGCTTGCGAATGGGCCTGTGGAAGATTCTGGCATCTGCAGTCCTGTAGGGAGCAAGACTCTAGCATTAGCCTCAATTTCATCTCTGCAGAGAGGTCTTTTCTGACTCACTCAAGTTCTGCCCTCCGTCCTTCTTCCCAGCTGCTGACATGCTCTTCTGCACTCTGCACCTGTTTTCCTTATTGAGCACTTCTAAACATCTGCAATTGTTCACTTCATTTTCTTCATTCTTTTCTGTCTCACCCCTTTGCTAGAATGTCAGCTCCTCAGAGAGGTGCCCCGTTAGAATAGGCCTTCTCCTATTCTGCTCCTGTCACACCGCCTGCCATGCATCAGATGCTTCCTCCATGTCTGCAGAAGGTGGAACACACAAGGAGTGACAAACAACCCTGTCTTCAGGGAGCTCACCCATTTCAGGGGCAACCACGGTTGCCATGCAATTACCATAGAATGTCCCCCCATTCATTCCTTACTCAGTACTTACTGAGTGTCTACTGTGTGCCAGGCACTGGTGAGGTGTAGGGGATGCACTGGTGAGTAACTGTACTGTTTTGTGATGTGTATGTTCTGGTTTGGGGTGAGACATCAGTATGCAAGCACATAGCAAATTTTTTGTTTGTTTGTTTGTTTGTTTGTTTGTTTTCCAATATATTAAATTTATTGTCAAATTGGTTTCCATACAACACCCAGTGCTCATCCCAAAAGGTGCCCTCCTCAATACCCA